TGGGGTACGGTTCTGGGGTTGGACCGTCTGTGGCGTGTCCATAGGGAGGGTGTCGGGCTGTCGTCCGTGACTGGTGGGACGGGTCTGGGGTTGGACCGTCAGTGGGACAGGAGCATGTGAGCCTGGGCTTGGAGGAAAAATAGGGGTTATAGGAGAGGGTGACGGGAGGGATGACAATTTGGGATATGGAAACTGATCCTCGACGAACCGAACATGACGAGAGACATAAACTTTTTGAGACACGGGTTCATAGCATTTATACCCTTTAGTGGTGGGGTGATATCCTAAGAAGACACAAGGAGTGGAGCGTGGTTGAAGTTTGTGGTGAGTGTAAGGGCGGAGCCATGGATAGACCAAGCAACCAAAGGCACGAAGGTGGGTATATGTAGGAGGACGGTTATAAAGAGTTTCAAAGGGAGATTTGTTGGAGAGAGTTTTGGTGGGCATACGGTTGATAAGATAGTTTGTTGTGGCAAGAGCTTCGACCCAAAAGGTAGTCGGGAGAGCAGAGTCGTATAGAAGAGAAACAACTGTTTCAATGAGATGACGGTGTTTCCGTTTAGCGACCCCATTTTGCTCAGGAGTGTAGGGACAAGAGGTGTGATGAAGGACTCCTAAAGTTTGAAGGAAAAGGCCAAAAGCGTTATTTACAAATTCTTTGCCATTATCACTTTGAAAAATTTTGATGTGAGAATTAAACTGAGTTTTAATCATTTTTTCAAAATTCACAAAAACAGAGTAAGCTTCAGATTTATGTTTTAGGCGATAAATCCAGGTAAATTTGCTGAAATCTATAGGATCGTTTTCTGCAACTTCCCAGTGGGTCACCCATCCTGGGACTACTCCCGTTCCAGCACACTTAACTACAGAGTTTTGAAGTTAAAGAGGTGCCAAATGCTTCCTAAAACCAATTGGTGATAGGAAGGTGGACACTTTGTATTTAACTATTTCTCTATGTAGCCCCAAGCCAAGGTAGATTCCTATAGGGCACCCCCTATAGTTCACTACGGCAGTGCGGAGCCCCACTACTGAGCGGTGGATGGACAAGAGGGGTTTCGCAAGATACACGACTCGTGTACCTCGTCAGGTTGGGCTGTCAGTACCCGATACCGTGACTAGCACAGTAGCGAATCCTTAAGGGTGATCGATGGTTCCCCATAAGACCAACACTTTCGAGTTCTGTCTTCGGTTCATTTTTGTCTACGTGCCTAGGCCTCTACAGTAAGTAAGAAGGATGGGTACTCGGCCTTGCATATTGGGGTGGGTTTCTTATATACGTATATGTATATAATATTAAATAAATTGGGCCCCTTAAATTCTTGGGCCCGGTTCAGACGGACTGTTCGTCCCCCTATGTGACCGGCTCTATTTATTTGGATGATAATTTAATTGAGTAATTTTTAAGATTTAAATTATTCCAATTTTTCTTCTTAGAGTTTCCCCAAATTTACTAGAGTTCTCTCAAAAGTGAAAAGAAGAAAACGAATGAAAAATGACTCATTTTCCAAAACTGATTTTTTCTTTTTCCAAAAAAAAAAAACTTTGAAAGGTAAGGACTTTGAGGGGGCTACACTGCTCCCTAATAACAAACAATACTTTTGGATGATAATTTAATTGAGTAATTTTTTAACAGTTAAATTTTTCCATTTTTCTTCTTAAAGTTTTTCCCCAAATTTACTAGACTTCTCTCAAAACTGAAAAGAAGAAAACGAATGAAAGATGACTCATTTTCCATAAATGATTTTTTTTCCAAAAAAAACTTTGAAACATAAGGATTTTGAGGGGGCTATGCTGCTCCCGAACAACAATGAAGACTAATTACGTCAAATTTTCTATTTAACCAATAATGTTGAAAAATAGCGTCTACCAGTTTGTCCATCTTTTTCGTATGGACCATACTGAATACTAGTATCTCTTTTTGGACCTTTCTCCACTAAAAGTTTAATCTCTTCAAAATTAAGTCTTTCCCACCTTCTTGGATCAAATATATTGACAACAGTATGCACAACATTAACCATAGACTCAAGATGTTCTTTCGCCTCTTCTAAATTTTCTTCCTCTTCTTCTACATGTTCATCCTCTTCAACATGTTATTGCTCTATTTTTAGATGCTCTTGCTCTTCCATCTCTTTTACTTCTACTTCTTCGTCTTCAACAACAGGTTTCATAAACTTATATAGAGCTCCGGCTTCACACTTTTTCATTTTCTTCATCTTGTTTTCTCTTTTTTCTTTTTTTGACTACCAGGTAAATGTTTAGAAGTCATAGCTATTGAATTATTTTTGAAATAAAATCCAAATTCATAAATTCAGTACTTAATAAAACTAAATATGGAAAAGCAAGCAATCAAATATATCATAAATCGATATCAAATCGACAATTTTTTTTTCTTTTTCGGTGTTAATTTTTTATACATCATAGATTCATATCAATTCGTCAATTTTTCAGTAATTTTTTTTCCGATTTTCCTTTTTTTATATATAAATATATCATAAATAAAAAATTCAAATCAATTCATAGGAGAGACATAAGGGTACAAATCTGGATCAGCCATACTTTCAAGAAAACATGTTGCGATTGTAATGCACTCTTTAAAAAATGTATTTGTAGTTGGTTGGTAAACATGGGAAAAAGTAAGAATTGCGTTATTAAAAACTTCTAATACGGCATTCAATTTTTCAACAATAACAAATTCAAAAGGATTAATGATTATACGAAGTTCATCCCTAAAAAATTCAGCAAGTTCCTCTTTATATCTTAGGATCTCTGCAATCAATTTGTAAGTACTATTCCATCTAATGTTAATATCTCTGGCAAAACTTATTTCTTTTTTACCCTTAGACTTACAGAACATCTTCCAGGATCTCGAAATAAGACGAGCCCCCCAAATTTTTTTAACTCCTTCTTTAATATTTGTCAAAACTCCGCCCATAACTTGTAGTCCCTGTTGAACACATAAATTTAAAACATGACAGGCACACCGTTGATGCAGAAATCTACCCAGAGTCGTAGACGGTGGGCAAATTTCTCTAAGTCTAAGAATAGCAGCAGTATTATTAGTAGCATTATCAAAACCAAATGAAAAAACTTTTTCAGATAAGTTATATTCCCGCAGAATACTCTGAAGCAATAGAAAAATATTTTCAGCAGTATGCTGATCATTGAACGAAATGCAAGAACACGTTTATGCATAATCCAATCACTATCTATCCAATGACAAGTAACACCCATATAAGACAAATTATGATAAGTTTCACCCCAAATATCGGAACAAATAGCAACACGAGAATTAAAATTGAGAAAAAAATTTGCCAAATTAGTTTTTTCCGTTTTATACTAGCGAATAATTTCTCGTTTAATTGTTTTTCTTGAAAAACCTCGTGCTTGAGGGTTTAATGCCTGTTGACAATAATCAATAAAACCATGTTTTTCAGAAAACATGTATGGCAAATTTTCTTCACAAATCATTTTGGCCATTTTTTGTTTATTTTAGTCGTCGCTATAAGCAAAAAGGCCGCCCTTACCTCTGTTAGCAAACCGAGAAATTTGGGTTTGCACTTCTTGTCGTCCCTTTTTTTTTGGCCTCGTATTTAGCGTACTCCACGGGATGCCTCGACCTTAGGTGTTTTTCCGGACCGCCATAACCGCCGAAAACTCCCATTTTTATGACGGTCCCGCAATGTTTACAAGTTCCATAAACTATGTCATCTTTTGTGTCTTTGTCAAAATGATAAACAAATAAATCTGATTTATATTTTTTTTACCTTGGTCCGGACCTCGAGAGGTCTCGGCTCACCTGCCTCCACGTCGACGTCGTTGCTTTGCGGTGTAGGCTCATTGTCCCCGTCAAGATTATCCAGTCCTGCTTCATCAACATCCTCGAATAGACTATCAAGAGTGGGGAGATTCGCGTCTCCTCTACCAGAATAAATCTGGTTGAATTCTTCATCCGTCATAGCATCCCCGATTAAATGATCTGGGACAGTAGCAAATGAAGAGACGGAGTGTCTTCCTCAAGAACCGCGTCCGCGTGAGGTCGAACCGTCGGAGGTGGCTTTAGCTTTGCCTTTACTCAATCTTCGGTTCACGTCGCCCATATCCACGGACCGTCTACCGGACTCCCTCGACATTTTAATATATATTTTTTTGATATTAAAATAATATATTACTTTTGGAAAAATTAAAAAAATTTCGAAATTTTATATATTAAAATTTCGAAAATTTCAATAAATAATAGAGATTATATTTAAAATATAAATTATATATTTTTTGATATTAAAGATATATTAAATTTCAAAATTTTCAAATAATTTCGAAATTTTATATATTAAAATGTAATATATTTAAAAAAGATAGATAAGAATTAAGTAATTAAGAATGATTGATAAGAATTAAGAAATTAAGAATGATAGATTGAGATTAGAGAATGAGAGATGGATAATGAATTGAGTATTTGAGAATTGAAATTTTGAGTGTGATATTTTATGAAAAAGGGGGTATTTATAAATT